CAAAGTGTTAGAGATATCTAAATATATATAAGGATCGAGAGTTTTAGTAGAAGCATGTGTAAGATGAAGAAATCTTAGTAACATGGTGCATTCAACAAACAAGACAATTCGCACATATGATCACTTTTCGAAAAACACGGGATATAAGAACCACCCAATCACAATATAGAAGATCTCCCCGTTGAACTTGGATCAAGTGAGGTAGAAGGGCTAAGAGTATGGAAAAGCTACCTATAATCAAACCTAAAAATCGCCACTTACTAATTGGACAATTTATTCCTCAATGAACTAATTCACTTTTAACGTAATTTTAAAGATAATAATGAGTGTTTATCTCATTTTCAGAGGAGGAATAATAATTGGATTTGAGGAATATGGATGGGTGGAGGTCAGCTTCTGACAGGTGCGGATCATGGGTGGGTGGGGGAATGCTGGCGGGGGGGAAGCGGTTTCGTCGATGTGGTGGGGTTCACGGGCGCCAATCATGCGCCGGTTGCCGACTAAACGCGTGTCTACCACGCTCCCCTTCGGCTCCTTTTATATCGGCTCGGCTCACGGCTCCGTCATTCACGTCTTCCGCTCGGCTCTTTTACGTCGTCGTTTCTTCTTTTTTTATCTGTTTGGTTTGTTGATCGGGAACGGGACGGTCAAGGGTTTGGTTGGTTGTGGGTTCCGCCGGTTAGAGTTCTGTCCGTTTCCGCAATCACGATTTGGACGAGAGGAAGTGTTGTAGATAAGGTCTGCGCTTCTGTTAGGGGCCCACTATACTTTTTATTGGTTTTCTTTGGATTCTCTCTCTAATTGTTGTTTTTTTTTTAATTATTATTATCTAAATTTATTATCATTTAAAAATTAAATGTATGTATTTTTGAAAATTAATTATTGTATTTTTAATACAATAAACTTCTTTTATTATCTTTTTTTTTTTCTGAAAGGTTATTTTATTATAAAATTATTGTAGATAAATCACATCAAAACTTTTTGATTTTGAATTTAGTTTCATTTTATTTTATTAATTAAATTTCTATCTTATGCAAAAAAAATATATATATTTAAATTATTTATTTTTGTATAAAATAATATAATCATATATATAAATAAAAAGTTGAATTAGTCATTGAAGAACTTGATTTCACCACCACCAATTTATAGCTGAAAATTATGGGGTTGTCTTTTGGCTTAATAAACAAGAAGAATGCTATAAATTGTGTCAAAATGAAGGTAGATGTTGACATCCACATTCCATTAAAAAATCAGGGTTCTTGGTAGCAAAACTACACAACTTAAAATATTATATTTAATTCAAAGAATACATATTTTTCTTCTTATATACACGCTTGTAAATTTTGGTAATTAAATTCTATAACTCAAGTATTTTTTAAATACGTTACGTCAGCAAATTTCTCACACATCTTTTTATAATATTCAATAAAATAAAAAATAAAAAATTAGATATTTTTATCTCAAATAGTGATATTATAAAACGAAGTATAATATAATTCAAATATATGTTTAAATTTTTTTTCTTCATCAATCTCATAAATATGGTAGGTGATGTGTACTTAAAGTCTAAAGGTAAAAATAACAATTAGACATAAGAAAATGGCTAATTTGGCGAGATTAAATTTGTGATAATTTGTAGTTTTGTGTATAATATGACAAAAGCTATCACATCATTAATCATACATTCCGTAATATTAGTTTAAAAAACATGAAATTTTTTGCATAAACATATTTTAATATGATAATATATGTGACTACTTTCTACTATAAAAAAAGATAGTATTTTTGCAATAGAAAACTAAGAATGAATTATGCGACAACTAACTTTAACAAAGATTTTTACAACGGTCAATGGGTACTGTTGATTTCGATCATTATAAATTTCATCTCAATATTTCGTTTTAAATTTATAAAAAAATTTACTATAAAATTAACGACTGACCAGTTCTATTGCTAGATTATCACTGCAAAAGTCGTCACATAAAATAAGAGAAATGCAAACATAAATGTTAATAGAAATTAGCGATTTATTTATCAACAATTTTATATTCCACTGAAAAAGCTATTAGGTCGGAAAGAATTTCAAATGACACTTCCCCCTCCTCCCTTCCTTGGAAACTCCTAGACATTTATCAAAATATAAGATTTCGTCAAGAAATTTAAGCTTGTTTTTTGAATAAAATGTTAGATTATATGAATTGTTTTAATTAATTAAATACTAATATATAGTTATAAAATATATGATAGAGTATATTTTTTACGAATAATTATTTTAATTATATATCGATAACTTTGTTTATTGTATTGGTACTAGAATTAGATTTTAATTAGTTATAGAATTATATTATTAATTAAATATTAATAATTACGAAACATAAGATAAATTTTAAGTAAAAGATTAAGTCTGGTTAAATGTCTTTATTCTTAACTAAATGTTGATAATTAAGAAATAGAAGATAAATAGATATTTAAAAGATTATTATGCTAATTAAATATTAATTACTTTAATTTTTATAAAGACACACGGACTTGGGAGGAGGATGTGAAGAGAAGCCCCTCCAGTTTCTTCGAGGTTTTCTAGGGAGCAGTTCGTACCGTTTTCCGGGAAATGAGCATCAAAGTGCCGAAAGTGTCCGCTCGAACTTAGGGCCTCCAGCAGCAAGTAGACAACGCGAATTAGCATTTTAGGATTTGTAATTAATCACGCATTTGTCTTACCGGAATATATTTAATGTTAAATATTAGTGTTTATTTAGTTAACTAATCTTAATTATTAAATCAGATTATTAATTAATTAACTAAACCAATTTAAATCATCTAAATGATTTTTACATTAAAGAAATATACTATTAAATATTTATAACCAATAAATTAATATTTTCAGTTAAATTTTAAATTAATTAATTTTATTCTTTACCGCATGGCTTGTTGCAACAATTGTTTCACCATATTTCTTTTTTAAAAAATATATATATATAATTCTACCACAATTTTTTTAATTTTGCGATGAACTTTTACATTTTTATGATGGATTTTGTGATAAAATTTGTGACGATTATTTAAATATTCTTTGTACAAAAAGCTTCAACCTATTTGTTCTATATTCTTCGTTAATATATTTCTGTCACTGATATTATTAAATTTTTTTAAAACTCCGCCATTAGCAAATGCCTAGTTTTGTAATTGACACGTATCTATCATTAAGTCTGTCACTAATTATTTATTTGGTCGCAAGATCTATTGCAAAAGTTGCTAAACAATTTTTTCCTTGTAGTGTTTGTTACATTTAGATTATATGTATATGTATATATATATTTATAATCGTGATAATGCATACGATAAATTTCATCATATTACTTCATTTAGACAGCTTTTTGGTGTGAAGAAGCATGTCACGAGTTTTATCACATCATTCATTGTTTGTGTCTTTTTAAAAAATTAATTTTTAATGAATATTTTTGATTTTTTTTCTCTATGTTAAATTTTCTTTCAAAAAAAACTCTATTTTTTTTTTTTGGGTTACTTTTTCAAGTATGGTTAAATTTTATAGTTCAAGAAACTTATAAACAAGGACTAAAAAGAGTGAAGAATTTGTATACATAAAAGTCAATACCACTTTCTCTAGACACCTTTTTTTTTAGGGGATAAGTTTGTACAACAACATTTTGTAAAAACTAAAAAATTAACTTCTTATAACAGTTAAGGGCTATTTCTTTATATTAATTTGTACAATTGACATCAATCTGTCTTTTATAACAATAAAGGGTCAAAAATTAAGCGCATCATGTCAATATTTGTATTCAAAACTTGCTCTTCATTTTCAAAGATTTTTGTTTTCAACCCTAATTATTTTTCCAAATTAATCTTTTGAAAAAGTAAGTAGAATGATGGATCTTTATTTTTCAGTACGTAAAATATGGCTTTTCCAAATTGCATGTGCCTAGATCCTTGGCTATAAAATGAAAGAAAATCTTTTCCACCTATGGGGGGGGGGGGGGGGGTATTGATGTACATGAACATTATTATGTCATAGTGATGTGAAAGATTACCAACATCTTTATTTTCTTACGAGGATTAAATTGTCATTTCCTAAAATTAAATCGTGGCCATTATGGTATTTGCTGAAAATCATATCATATGATCACAACACAGGTTTATTAACTTTTGTATATTATTAATGTAAAGAATAAAATTCCAAACAGTAGTAATGGGCTCTATCTACTTTTTAACACATTCTAATTTTCAGAAGTTGAACTCTTGATTGTTTCCCTCTATTGAAGAAATCTATACCAATATCATATCAATTCTTCTCAAAATTTCAAAATTCAAGCTTAAATGATTTTTTCAATATATGTAAGTAATTTGGCACCGGAATTCGATTGAATGAGACCCCAAAAAAAAAAAAAAAACACCCAGAATTGATAAAAATTAGTTAAATAATTCAATCTCACCTTCATCATCATCATCATCTCAAATTAACTATAAACCCAGCATCTCTACCGGCAATTTATTTTTCTTTCATTTCATATTATTTTAGCTCTTTCTATGCCTCTATTTACACAAATTTCTATTTTTTTTTAAACAAAAACCAGAGAGATGGATCTTGATCCTCTAAAACGAATGATCATAATAAACAAAGACCCAGAAAGAAAAAAATTAATAAGAAGGAACTAAGATGAAGAAAATTAAGAAGAAGAATTTTAATTAATCAATCAAAAGGAGTTTCAGATATGCTCTCCAAATGTGGTCTCCAAACACCAATTCTTCCTCTTCTCCGATCCCTCTGCGTCGACATCTTCTCCGACAGTATCTCACTCAGGTACTGATCCGATACCAACAGATTTATATTGCTTCCGTCGGCGATGCTATTGTTTCTGTCGTCTCTGTTCCTGCCGCCGCCATTGTTGGTGGTGGTTCCATGGCTGCCTTGGCGACGATGGCGGCGGTGGTGGTTGTGGGTGTCGTCTCTGGTCCGCTTCGACGATGATGATCTGGAGCGTGATTTTTCAGGTGGGTCGGAAGGAAGGGGCATGAGGAAGTAAATCTTGCCTCGTTGGAGCTGTGCGTCGGGAGGGACGACGACGATCTTGGGAACGAGGGAGGCGGCGTCGTCGTCGTCGGAGCTGGGGGAGGAGGGTTTCTTGAGAACATGCTTGGGATGTGTTTTCATCACCTCGCTGGCTCTGATGCTGCCACTGATCTCCTCCACACGTCCGTTCGAGTGTACTATGCGGATTACATCCAGTGCTCCGCACGGTAAAATGCAAGAGATGCAGCACCTGATCGTGTTCTTCATCATATACTAGATATATATATCACTAGTCTGTATATGTTTTGATCGTGTTCTACTCTGTGCTATTGGTGTTTTCATAAGAGAGAGAGAGAGAGAGAGAGGCTTTTAGTTTTTGGTGATCTTGAATGGGAATGGGAGAATGATGAGTAACCTAAAATATATATTTTCTAGCAAATCATATTTGTATTATGTATATGTATATATATAGTGAGTATTCATTCTTCCTTTCAACTTTTTTTTCTTTAATTGTAGGGGTAGCTATGGAGGGGATGATGAATGGTGGAATTATTAATATTTTTAAAAGAAGAAAATCTGGTTAAGGTGGAATGAAATTCATGGCATGAATAATTGCACCTCTCTCTGTACTTTGCCTTTTTGGATCCATCATTCATCCCCCTTCATCACTCTCTTCAATAATTTGATTAACACCCTCATCTTTTTATCACATCATTCAACCTTCTTAATACAATAAATTAACTTAGGGTTTTACTTACATAATTCAAATATTATAAGTCAGAATCTCATTCCTTATTTGAGTTATGATTTACTTTACTACAACTTAAATTACATTTTATCTTAATAAATTATAA